TTCACAGGATGACGACTGGCAACTTTAAAACTCCCAAATGCAGACGATATTTTAAAAAAATGCCGGAAAATTATTGCTTGAACGCTCACATTATTTTCAACATACCCAATTACTTGTCCCCTTGTAATCAAGATGAGTATTCCCATAGACTTCATCCAATTGCAAAACGACGTCTCTCTCCAGTTCATTTATATTTCTAACCGCCATTTTCAAAAAAGTGAACATTTTCATTGTCTGAGTTGAAATGAATTGAAAAGAGAAGATGATAGTTGTTGTAAATACTTATTAGATGACAATAGGAAGTTACCAATTTCTCTAATAGCAGAATAGGATGGAGATGAATGGTGATTGATCATGAGCAAATTGTGTCTACGGAGTACTTTCAACATTTTCTGAAAGTTAAAGAAAACAGGTGACTTAAATATTTCGATTTCAACAATTTTGTACGGTCTTTTGATGCCATACGTCAGACAGGTAGGTGATAAGCCTAGATAGCCTTAGTTTAACCGTGAATTCGGCTCTCCAGATGCGAACAAACAGCATAACGAAGAAACCGCATAACAAAAGCCGCGAGCTGCTTTGCCGCATCTCGATGACGCAGCGTTTGGCTTTACGCCAATCCTCAAGGAACATGTTTTCTGGTACAGTGTTAGTCTCGCAAGGGTTTTGAGAGAGCAACCTCAACAGAGTTTCGGCCTGTCGCACTTTTCAAATAGGCATTCTGTCTATGACGCTATTGTTGAACCTTTCTCAATGTGAGTTCGTTTTGCCCGAGGTACTCAACACAGGGTTTTTCTTTTAAAATTGGCTTTGGATAGTTCTCGAAAAATCTCGCATTGGATCAAGACGAGTGGGTAATGAAAGCAGTTTGCATCGAAAGAGCCCATTCAATGATACCAAACTCAACTCCCCACAAACCAAATAAAAAAAACAACAACAAAAACATTAAATACAAAAGTTAAGTATTTATTCCCGGAGAATCCGAATCTGCAATAAAATTCGGGGGTTCCCATTTAACTTTTTTATTTTACCCCACCCTCATCTCCGAGGGGGGAGGGGGATCGAGTTTGGTATCATTGGATGCCCCCATCGGTACAATCAACTTTGAGCAACAACAAAAATGAGCCGAGTCCATCAAATAATAATGACATTGTGGATCGTGAGGATACGCCAATAAAGTTACCTTTTGTTACTACATTTAAAATAAATATTTCTTCTCGTTCAACCTAAGATCTTTCGAGAGGTTTCAGTTGTACATGCTGACATTTTTTTGGATTTGGGCATTCCTTGACAAATTGAGGATAAATACTCTCGCGAACTTAATTCATTCGTTTTCTTCGTCAGATGCTACTGACATTTAATCTTGATTTTTTTTGTTGCTACAGAGGTAATTTATTAGGCCTGCTTCAGGGCTGAAGATTCCTTTAGTGCATAAATGCACTTGTAGGAATTTACTATCGTAAAAATGTGAAGTCCACTGAAGGGAGCAATGTGTTCGACGTAACAAGACGCAGGCTGTTCTCAGCCAATTGCGTGCATATTTCCTTATGCGTGTTCTCTGCAGCCGTGATTTTTGCTGAATTTGCTGGCTCGTTGTTAATGAACGTACTGACGGCGTCGTCAGTGCAAGTCATTAATACCTGTTAGCCATTTCTTCTTGTTAATAACAGCCTCAAATGTGGCGCGTCCGGTAGTGTTTAAATGCTTATTTGTGCCATGCAAGTTTATAATAAAAATAAATTTTAAACACAGTTGCTTGGCTACTCTATTCTCTGGTGTATGCTCGGGCATAATTACTTGGAAAAAGTACCGATAGAAATAGTTTTTAAAAATTTGTAAAATACACTTTTCGATTTAAACACATTTTTTGTATATTTTTCGTTGAATTTGATTCTATTTAATATGAATTGTAACATTTTGTGAGACGAGTGATCATATCAATTTCAATTTGCCTGGGCCGGATATCGAACCTGGAGTTGCGCAGTGATCAACTGACCATCCGAGAGGGCGTTTCAGTATGTATGAATATATAATTTCACTATTGTTTTTGAAGAAAATTCCCTCCCTTATCATCACTTTTCTAGATGCCTCCAACTGTCCGAAAAAAGCGTTTTTGACGCTAAAAGTACACAAAACCTTATTTTTAGACAAATCTCTTTATATGATGCGGAAGGATTCGACGAAAAGTGATCAGTTTCCCACTAGCAGACAGAAAAGCACATCGAATGACACCACACTCACCGCAAATTGAAGAAAGCGATGGACGGATACGTAGAGGTTATGCAATTCCTGTATGTGGGACTCACGCAGGCCGCGAACCAGCGCCAGGAGATTGAAAGGCGGCAACGTGGCGGGGAGTGTAGGTCAAGCTGCCAGTGGCACGTGACGCGGAGC